ATGCTTCCAAAGCCCTATCTAGCACTGAAATTAGATACAGCCAAATAGAGAAGGAATTTTTATCAGTCTTGTATGCTTGTAAACGCTTTCACTCATTCATCTATGGTCAGAAAATCATTGTTCACACTGACCACAAGCCAATCGTGAAAGTAATGAAAAAAGACATCATAAGAATTCCATCCATTAGACTCCAAAGAATTAGGCTAAAATTAACCATCTATGACATGGATGTGCGATTCCTCCAAGGTTCAAAAATGCATATCGCAGACGCTCTCAGTAGAGCATGTTCAACCCGATCCCCTCATATAGACACAGACCCATCCTTAAATGAAATTGTGCACTCTTTGAACGTATCAGATGATCTTAGAATTCAACTCCAGAATGAATCTGACAAAGACCCAGCTCTGATCTCCTTGAAAATTCTAATCATAAATGGATGGCCGAGTTCAGAAACGAAAGTTCCAATCCCCTTAAAATTATTTTATCAATACAGAAATGTCCTCTCCATAGAGGAATCGCTCATATTTCTAGACAATAGACTAGTGGTCCCAGAGTCCATGCGCAAAACAATACTAGAAAAACTTCATGAGTCCCATGTTGGTATAACCAAAACAAAAGCTAGGGCAAGATACCTTTTCTACTGGCCAAAAATGAATACTGACATAGAACTGTATGTATCTAGTTGTAAGACATGCCAAAAATTTGCCAAAAACAATGTAAAAGAACCAATGATTGTTAGACAACAGCCATCTCGTCCATTTCAATATGTTGCCAGTGATCTTCTCAACTACGGAAACAAAGACTACCTAGTTCTAGTAGATATGTACTCCAAATGGATAGAGTTAGTAAAGCTCCCCTCGAAGACAGCCTCTGCAGTCATCGCAGAACTTAAAAAGATTTTCTCTGTGCATGGCATCCCTGTCAAGGTATTTGCGGACAATAATCCCTATAACTCCCTAGAATTCAAACTTTTTGCCAAATCCTGGGGATTTGAGCCTGTATATTCCTCTCCTCATTACCATCAGAGCAACGGACTAGCCGAAAAAGCTGTAGGAATCTGCAAAAATCTCCTCAAAAAATGTGATGACACAAACTCAGACATCAACCTAATGCTTCTAGAATACCGAAATACGCCCGTATCAGGAACACCCCATTCTCCAGCTCAGCTCTTGTTCAGTCGCCTTTGCAAAACTTCTCTTCCAATAAAAGATGAGCTCCTAGAACCCACACTTACTCCAAACCATCCCACTACCCTAGCCCACAAGGCTGAAAATGCCAAATCATATTATGATGAGCATGCAAAAGACTCAAATCACACTTTCTACCCTTCGCAATCAATACTTTTTAAAGAAAATTTATCCAAGGGCACTCAGTGGAAGCCAGCCAAAATTGTCAGTGCGACAAGCAATCCCCGTTCATTCGTAATCCAAGATGTAAAAGGGAGACAAAAAATCAGAAATACGCGTTTCCTTAAACCCATCCCTCAAGAACACAAAAAGCTCCCCTCCTCTTCCCCTCCTCTCCCAAAGAGGCCATATTGGGCAAGCAGATCAAAAGAAATTGAAGGGAAGTCAATTCTGGAGAATGACTCGGAGGCTGCTTTCAATCAACCCCCACAATCACGACCTCAACGAAACCTAAAGCCCCCAAAATACTTGTCAGATTATGTCACCCCCTAAAGAGGAAAGTGTGAAATACTTGCACGACATGGCAACAGTGTGTGGACGAGTAGGCGGGGGTCATAGGCAGTTAGACTAGAGCAAGCCAACTTGTACCTGGATCTTGACATCTCGTTATCAATAAAGCATGTATGTCCCGTGAACCCGTGTGTTATACTTCATTACAAATTCATCATATTTTTTAGCATGGATAGGTTCAGGGACATCATTCCTATTGATTAATTCATTTGGTTTTCAATCGTTTTGCCCTAAGTCGTTCATAACCCACGGCGACACGACTATTCCTATTATCGTGAAATCACCCGTAAATAGAGTAAGAGAACTCCTACAATACTTACCAGAATTATAACCAGGGTAAACGGAAATTGCATTCATTTTTTCCTCCTCATGTTATGTTGAGCCATAGTAAAAAATCTTTCTCATTTTCCTTCCGCAGTTTTTCTTCTGACGGCAAATTGTCAATCTTGTTCTCCTGAAAACCTAGCTTTCATTCAGTAGATTCGTAATTTCTCATATATTTTAAGAATTTGAATGCGTTTACAGTAATTTCTGGCCTACCAAAGGCAGAAGTTGCCCCTACGCCTTAATTTATAAAGGTAACTTACGTTCTGTGTAGGTAATTAATAATCCATGCTGGCCTAAATATCTGAAACCCTCTGCTGTGATAACACTCGAATCAGTCACTTTAACAAGGATATTAGTATCTTCCTCATGTCTTCAATGTAATCTGTAGGCACATCGTAGGTATAATCGGGTGAGGAGGTATATTGTAACAAGTCGACGGTGAAACTAGCAGACCACGTATCTCGTTTGCGGTGCTTAAAAATCTTCGCTCCCATTTTATTCTTTTGACGGGGAACAAATCAATTTTGCTCCTTGGTTTTCACAGAGTTTTCTTCGCATAGAGAAGAAAAATTGCAGACGTTTTTAAAAATTGACGTTGGTTGGTTTTCCGTGTGAAGAAGAAAGTATGAAAGGAAGTCTACAACGTCGCAAACCGACATAAGTACGTGGTCTGGTAGTTTCACCGTCCAACTGTATTTTACAAAAATTACATTGTGAGAATGGAGCTGATCACTAGAATTACAATGCATAGATATGTAGGACATAGGTGATTGCAACATTATTTGTCATGAATGTTTCATGACACCTGCAGAAAAGATCAGTGGTTCCCGAGTGATGATAAGGACTTGAGGGTAGGTAGGTTTCGTTGAAACGCATGATTCTCATACGTATCTGTTGAGGCATGGATTTTTGGCCTGCTGAGGAGTTGAGTAAATTAGAAACCATTGCTCATAAGCTGATAAAGTTAGGAGGAAACACGATCAAACTGTAGAACTTTTGATACTTTATGAATGTAAACAAAGACTCGACCTCAAAAAACTTTCACAATAATATTATGTAGGTACTCAATTTAAAAAAACTCTCTGTGGTTCATGAATTTTTTAATCAAAGGTAAGCATAGGTTCTCCGACTGGATAAGAGATGGCCGTAGTGATCATTTGACGAAATGCCTTCTCTACTATAAACTACCTAAACTATCTAACATTGAACTTGGAGATTGATTTTGAAATTAGCTCAGTCTTTCTTAATGATAATCATGAACTCGAGTGTCAGGTGGGGTAATTCCGGACTATAGCCCAGCAGAGGGCGTTGTAATCGTGTTTTCGAAATTTCCCGCCAGGCGGTGAATCTCTATGTTAAGTTGACCATACTGAGTACAGCCATTGGTGTTTTGTTTATGTTTTGTCGCCGTGAGAACTCCGCGAATTTGGTAAGTGGAAAAAAGCGTTTTACAATCTCGTAGACCTATTTGTAACCACTGTTTATGACAGTGTAATAATTTTTTTCAAATCCAACCAATATAAACATGGTTAACACCACCTGACGGGAAATTTCGAAAACGCGATTACAACGCCCTCTCCTGGGCTAATCCGGAATTACCCCCACCCAACGGGGGTAATTCCGGATTGAAAATAAAGAGCTGCAATTATTATTTATCTTGTCTCGTATGGGCATGGTTGGCATCCTTGGAACGTCTAGTCTCCAAAAAACTACAAACTTGCGCAATTTGGTTCATTTTCTGTAAAGCTTTTAAAGATTTTCATCAAACTAATCAAAAACGTCCGGAATCACCCCACCCGACCCTAAATCGACTTCTCCTTTCACGGATTAACACTGCATCAATAAATTATATAAAAAATCAGTTTTTATATCTCTGTATACCAGGAGGAGTGCCTTGTTTTTAAGAAGTGAATATGTTTTTTAATGTTCGATGTCACCGCTGAAAACACTGATCAATCCATAGAGTTGTAATGTAAGTGGGTGAGCTGGCGCCACTTTTAAGCATTTTCCAGGTCCCGAATTTCGAGACTCCTGTGTGACGCCGGGTCACTTTTTCGATACATAATCGATTGTTTGCGATACACGGGTACCCGGCCATTCGATGTAAACAAAGAAGATAGGGATCACCACGTATTCCGCACCGCCATCTTGGATCGAACTTGTATCGAAGAAGTGACCCGAACTCGGCGCACACCGGGCTCGGAACTCGTCGAGCAGAACATGGCGCCAGCTCTCCCATTTACATTACGACTCTATGTACTCTATGGATCAATCCTACTGACTATCACAACCGCTTACATCATCTATTCACTTGATCCCTTTCGAAGTGATGAACATGAAGAATTAAATATCGTTATCTGTCCTTTACTTTTTGATATTGCGATAAAGTTTCAAGTCGAACTTGGGTAACGATACAAACTGTCAGTTGCAGCATTTTTCAGAGGTTGAACTCGTTGCTCAGGCACCTCCTCCAAACATTACAATTTTCTCGGACGCAAGGTAGCTAGGAATAATAGTTGGCTGTACTTTATGGCAAACTGAATGTCTGGTTGTGTCTTGGGAATGATATTGGCAGCATGAATTGAATCATTTCCCTGTGAAAGCATCGGCTGACCGTGGAGAAATGATGTACGAAATCTGAAATGTTTGTAAACTCTGCGCTCCCGAGCAATTTTTACTTAGCGTGGTTGACGCTGAGAGGTAGTGCTTATATTCCGATACCTAGTCGAGAGATGGGTGGCGCAGTCACCTCAATGCTGGCGAGAAGCGTCGGCTTGTTTCCATCACTCACGCTTTTTCCGGAAAATCGAGTTTTCCAAAAACAAAACAAAAAAAAACTCTTTTCAGGGGCCAAAAAATGGATGTTTTGGAGAAACTCTTTCAACTCTTTTGTTATTCCTGCAGTGAAACTTTTTCCCTAGTCGTCTTTAGCCTTTCTTGCCTTTAAAGTTGATTTGAACGGTGATGGTTTTTTAGGTATGCCTGAAAGAAAAAGAGTCAGCGTCGCTGTACGTGATGCTGTTCCCGAGCGATGTGGACAACTCAGTGAACGAGACGCTGTCCTTGGTGCAGGAGGTACAGCGGCGGTATCCACGTGCCAAGATCGTCGTCTACCCAATCTTCGCCGGCTTCACGCGGGCCCTGGCCCTCGATGAAGGGGCCCGCCTCGTCCCCGGCGACGGACTTCTATTCTTCATCGACGTCGACATGACGTTCACCCGCGAGACCTTGGCTAGGGTCCGGCTCAACACCATCCGCGCTCGATCCGTCTACTTCCCCATCGTCTTCAGTGAGTTCGACCCGGAAGTGGCCTTCCTCTTCGCGCCTGGCAACCAGGACCAAGACAAAGATCGCGTCACCGTCAACTCTGGCTACTGGCGCCAGTTCGGTTTTGGCATCGCCAGCCTTTTCAAGTCCGATTACTTCCGGGTCTGTACTTACATTCACACATCTGTTATTATCATAGTTAGTCTAAAGAATACTAGAGTTTTTCAATCAGCGATTAGTCAATCGATGAATTGAATGTCTTTCGACGCGGTTAATGAATTGATTCCTAGAATTTCGATTAACTGTTTAAGTTAAATTTTTTTCTTTGCAAGCGGTGAAGGAAATGTCAGAGAAATTCAGCGCCAGATTTTTGCAAAAAGTCAGGGAATTTTGGAAAGGGTTGCCACAGTCAGGGAATACCGGAAAAACTGGGAAATGTCAGGGAATTTGAAAAAGTCGGGGAAAACCGGGAAATGTCAGGGAAAATGACGAAAATGTCCGGGAAAATGTGTTAAATCACCTCTCTTTGCTCCTTAGAATGAGTTTGAGGTTTCGAACAACAAATTTTGCCTGAGACCAGTTTTAAATTATGTTCTCTTAACCACCTGTCACATCTTCAGATGTCAGGAAATTTTACCAAAACAGGTCAAGGAAATCAGGGAAATGTCAGGGAATTTCATTTTCCAAATTCTGTGGCAACCCTGTTTGAAATTTGATTCAAGTTGCAACCCTGCGAATGCAATTTGAGCGGTTCAGGTGTTGAAATAGTTGTATCACGCATTTCAGTTCAGCGACATGTCGGAACTTCGTTCGGATGACTTTTCCTTGGAATCATCGTGCAGAATGATAATGTATGAAATCAGAAATCTTTGCAACCTCCATGCTCCCAAGCAATTTACTAACTACTGTTGACGCGAGACGCGGGGGAATGGTATTTATGATATCCGACCGCGCATAAATTTGCCAGAGGCCAAATTTTTCATTTGGATGAGACAATGACACCTAACTCTCCACGCTCAAGTACCAAAGTGCAACAAAAATATTGAAATAATGTTGTAATTGAATGCAATACAATTGCAAATTTTTCCCCAAGTGCAATATTGCATCTTTGGATCAATTGAAGAAAAAACGGCGCAAAATTTCAGATTAAAACTCTAAATAAACCGCACTCTATCCATAGGTCTAATTGTATCGAGCGAGTATGTACCTGCATGGAGTCTCACGTTTCCTGGAGGCGCACCTCCCCCCCCCCCCCTTGCATTTCCTTCAGCCGCACCCGTATGCTATGGGCTTGCCTGAGGGTTTTATTTTACAGCCATGATTAGTTTCTATTAATTATTATATATTTCTCAGGTTGGTGGCTTGGACACAAAAATCAAAGGCTGGGGAAAAGAAGACGTGGATCTCTATACGAAATTCATTCTCTGCTCTACATCCATAAGCGTCTTCCGGGCGGTGGATCCGGGACTATTTCACCGTTTTCACATAATCACATGCAGCCCCAAACTTGACGACGCTCAACTGAAGATGTGCAAAGATACAAGATTTGAAACTTACGGATCAGTCCCTTATCTATCGAGCATCCTTGTTAGTAATTTAACCGGCTACATAAACTTCGCTAATAGTCGGCAAAGGATTTCGTCTCTGAGCTGAAATTAGTCCAGGAAGGTTTCTATAACAATTTCACTTGTCGGGAGAAGAGGGAAAGTGGGAAGATGATTGGAAGCCTCCAATTCGGAGCTGACTACAGCCTTGGAAAAAGTCTATCAAAAAGTGTGATCGTTCAGGGGAGAGTGGAAGTCGGAAGTGGATTCTATCTCGGATCTTAGTAAGATCAGTATTTGAATCAATTAAAAAATAAATTCTGCATCTATTCCTGAAAATTGTCCTCTTAATATACTTTATTTAACCTTTTAATTTTAAATTATAGTCCAATCTAGCCCCAAAAAGGGCCCAACCTCGGCCAAATTCGCATAAACTTCTTTATTGTTTAAGTAACTCCAAAACATGTCTACATTCCCCAAAAAAAGCCTACCGTTCTAGTCGAAGGGCCACGAAGTTACTTTCGTGTGCAAACCTGAAACTTTCTGAGTACCTTGTTGGGTCTCTGGAACGCCTTTTTCTAGCAATAAAATTGTCCTGATTCCGGGGCAACATATTCAAAATGGCCGCCATGGCCAAAATCGAAGGGTCCAGAGGTGCTCTTTGAAACCCACGGTGTATTCGAAAATTTTCAGATAAGAATATTGTCAAAGAACCAAAAATGCTCTACACCAGAGAACGACGGTGTATCCTCATGGGAAAAGTGGGCCCAGCTGAATCGGCTGGTTTTTTTATCTGTTGCAGGTCTGAACCCACCGTTCAAAAGGGTCATTGGGCGTTCCTTGCTACCTCGAAGTTTTTCTTCCATTTTGGGGGTCAAAGTTCCCAATTCAGAGTGTACGTGGTAGTTTTGACACCCGGGTTCAATGGTCACATTTAAGATTCTCTAATATTTTTTTGAGTCTATTCTATCCTCTGAATAAGCTAGAGACCACCCGGATTAAAAAACTGAACCATTGTGCCGTATGGGGGGGGGGGGGGTGAGCAGCGCAACGGGCTTGCGCGAGATACATCAAACCAATGTTTCCAACAAGGTTTGGAGACTTTGTTAATGCGAATGATTCCAACTGTATCTTTATAGGAAAACCGAGATGCATCTCAGAATATACAATAATGACAATTATTATTTTAAAATTTTGTATACCCCTATAGGGGGAGGGGGGGGGCGGGCGGGCGATCGAACTCGAGCAGCACAACTGGGTTGCGCGAGTCGCATCAAACCGATACATTCGCGATGTTTTTGGAGACTTTTTTATGACAAAGAGGATAGGAGAAAGGACGCCTCTCAATCCGCACCCTCCGTCGCAATATAGGACTTTTCAGCATAGGTCAGTGTGGCACTCACATTAGAAGTGTTGCTTTTTTATCAATACCGTCGGCCACATTGGGCATAAAAAAGTCTCCAAAAACATCTAGAAAGCATCGGTTTGATGCGACTCACGCAAGCCACTTCCGCTGTTCGAGGTCGGTCGCCCGCTTCCCCCCCCCCTTTGGTGAGTGGGTCTTAACCCCTGGTCAGTGGGTTAAGACCTGCAACACATAAAAAAAACAGCCGACTTAACCGGGCCCCTTTTTACTGTAAGGATGGACTGACGTCCTTTTACTTGGGATATCATCATATCAGGACCTCTGAGCCCCTTCCCCAAGCAGCATTTCTCAACGTAAAAATTAATATAATGTATCCATTTATTGGTATAAAGTTTCAAGAAATATTGCAATAATAAACCTATAAAGGTGCAATTCTCAGTCAACATTTGGACAATATTTCCCGATTTCGTGCAATCGGATCGATTAAAAAAAAAATCGATACTTAATAGCAATTTTATTGCTATTCCAGACGTTGCCAAATGTTTTTCGGGGAGGGAGGGGCGGAGGAGGATAGGGGGGGGGAGNGTGGAGGGTGGGGGAGGGGAGAGGAGGTTGGGGGCATGGATACGGAAATGCGGCAGTTGACATGCATATTTGCACCTTGTGACAAATAATTTATAAAATGCTGGTAAAAACAAACTGTTAAAACATTTTTTTAAATTTTGTAGTTGCTTAATAAACAAGGAATTTTTATAATATCTCTTTGTTTTTTGACATTATTTATTTCAATTTTAAAACAATCAACAAGTTATTAACTTTGATGTAAGATCCAAAAAATCTGTAAAAGGTTATAATTTTGCAGCCAAGAGGTAAGCATTTTAAATTGAGAAGACTTACTTACCTCCAAAACCGAAGACTTTCCCCATAAAAAAGAAGTTCAGTCTTGGCATGTAACAAAGATAGTGCAATTTTACATACCATTTGCAGAGTACTTGATTAATTTACAGTCAATTTAGGTACTCAATTTCACAGGAAAATGGAAAAAAATTCGTGGTAGAATTGGGCATGTCAAATAGACCAGTCCCCAAGTAGCATTTTGCAACGAAAAAATTGCAATTTAAGTGAAATAAAATTTCCAGATGATTTCAACTTTTTTGCAAGAAAATTTCAATTCTTTACAACATCTGACCCCCTCATTGTAAAAAAGTTGCAATTTTTTTGCAAAGAAATTTCAATATTGACGACCTTTAAATTTCAACCCCTAAATTTTTCGGGGAAATTAGAATAATTTGAAACCATACTTACCTGAAGTCCTACGACGTTTAGCAGCGTAAAATACCGGACGCCCTCGTGTGGACTTGAACCCGACCCGCGAATGTCATAGCCCAGCACTCTGCCACTAAGCCTTAGGGAGCTGATGGTGAGTCGGGTTAAAATCACGCCTGTTAAGGCTGTTATATCATGCATTGCGTCAGTGCGCGGCTCAACTTTCATCATAGAAAAATGTTTACAGGCAATATTTTTGAATTATTTTAAAAATATTTTTTGTAAACATTTTCAAAATATTCCTTAAGAAAGTGTTGAAAATATTTTAAAAATATTTTAATTACAATATTGTCATGAAAATATTTTGATAAAGGTGACAATATTTTCAAAATATTTTGTGCTACTTGGGTTAGGTGAGACATTTAAGTCGAAAAAACTTTAAAACAACTAGAAAATTGGATGCCAGGCACAGGGCGCGAATTTGTTTCAACCGCATGATTGCACCGAAATTGCAGTCTTTATAGTGCCTTGAAAAAGAAGGTTACGCAACAAGCATAACCTACATTTCTTGCAAACTCATTCCAATAAAATCGCAACTTTTTCAGCGCCTTCAAATGAACGTATAGGCAACAAGCTAAAATTGCAATCAACTTACAATCCATCGCAATGAAATTGCAATCCATGCTACTTGGGTCGTACATTAAGAGCCGAGGTTTGCAATCGAAGCAGCATTGCAAGCCCCTCTCTTTCTATAACATCTCAAAATAAAAATTTCAATCTGAGTTTAGTTTAGTGTATGCTAAAAAAAATATGATAATACCTGCTCACCAATCAACCTTTGGTGGTTCAAAGAAAGTGCATGATTTGGTGTACCTGCTATTCAACTGCGAATACTTTAAGATCAACAACATTTGACTGCTTCGTGATTTAATCTATCTGTCATATGTTGTTAACATTTTTATGCCAACAGTTGTCGAACATTAAATGGAACCTTTCTACGCTGCCTCTCTGTATAATCATTTTATTTTTGCTCACAGCGGTGAGTGGAACAAACCACAACTGATTTCACATCTATTGCTGCCAAGTAACTGGAGAATAGAATTGGCGTGTGCACACAAACATTTTCCTGAATTCCCCGTGCTTTTTCCAATACCCTCATTCTTAACTAGAACTGAGGAAAGAAATGTTCGATGCATTTATAGGTTAATATAGAATTTGTCTCCTCTGTTCTTTTCGCAGTTCCATTACATTATGACTCTCTTGCCTTGATTTCTACCTGCAGGCCGATCATTTCGACGATAGTGACAAAAGCTCTATCTTCTTAATTCTACAACCAGTCAACAGAGGATCCATCGATCCGTTAACCTCAAATCCTTTTGTAATCATTATCTAAAAGTAAATTTCATGTGAATTGAAGACTAGATATATAGGACAATTGATTTTTGACAACATTGATGACAGTAAAAAACGACAGAATGAGCAGACTTGATTTAAGAGGATTCTTATGTGCATACACATTAAGAAGTATCATGTGTTCACCTTACTGAGCTACGTTCAGACCACTCGATAGTGTGAGCTGAGCGTTAGTTACACACTGAGATGCTTTACTAGCTTCAATAGAGATATTGAGTATGTTCCCACGCGCATGTAGAGCTCGCTCACCACCCAGGTCGCATTTTTCAATGTAAAAGTTGCAAAGAGTTGAAACAATGTTGGTATTAGTTGCAACAAAGTTTCAACTTTCGATCAACTTTGGTCGATAACTGCCGATTTCCGGCGATCTGATCGAAAGACAAAGTTGCAACCTGCTGAGATTGCAAAATTGCTGAACCGAAGTTGAGGCAACCAGCAATACTTTGAAGTTAAAACATGTTTCAACTTAATTGCAACTAGTTCAAACAATGATAGCTCCTTCGGGGGAGAGAGTAGGCAATCTGCACATCAATCTAATAGTTGCAAGAATCAAACGATTTTGTTGCATTCTTGCAACCTCTGCTACTTGGGCAGATGCTGCGATGAAAGCCAAGAATTGTTCGTATCATCACTCATCAGTGCAATGGTTCCATCTCATTGCATGTACGTAATATACGTACGTGTACGTGTAGAGTGGTGATGGTTTGGAGCTGATCAAATATTGACGTTAATCTCAACATTTGATGAGGTAACTCTATTGAATCTTACATTGACTCGTGTTTCGAGCTTGCATCAAGAGTTACATTTAAGTAGATAAAACGTTTGAGCAGGAGCCTCAATCAATTGCAAAAAACTGGTGATCAACCCAGTCAGCAAGATTCCTCTCCGTCACTGTTCTTCAGGAGCCTCTCAAGAAAACTCTTCAGAAGAGGCGTTATACTCGCGTTTGAGAGGATTCTTGGAGACGAATCCTGGAAGCAGGTAAGACCCAGATTCTACCGCCACTTGGAACCGGGTTTTACGCATTTCCTGAAGCATTTCATGGAACCAGGTTCTACACCGCTATCGTCGAGCGTTTCCAACAGCTCCCGCACGTGAGCGCCCGAGCGCCTCGTTGACATTCGGTGCCCAGAGTTAAGAAATTTCATGAAAGATTATAAAAAGAAATTTCATGAAAGATTATAAAAAGAAATTTCATGAAAGATTATAAAAAGAAATTTCATAATGAAATTTCATGAAATTTCGTGAAATTTCATTTAACACGCAGAATTCAGGATTAAACCCTTGAAACTTATGAATCTCCTTAAGTTCATTTACAGGCACGTGGTAAACTGTGAACGGGAACTTTAGAAATGCCCAGAAAGTTGAGTAAAACAGCAAAAACATAATTTTGAATTTTTTATCTTAAATTTTGGTTGAACACACAGCCGTACCGGTTGAACACCAAAATAAATTTTACGGATAAAGTAAGACGTTAGCTTTCATATTTGGAGCAAAACAAATTTCTTGACTATAAAGAATCCTACTACCCCCTAATAGTATATCGTTCTTTTTTGGTACAAAAGGGAGGGATCTTGAACTATTTTTGAAACAATTTAAATGATTTTTTCATTTGTCTCTGATTATTTAAGAAATTAACAG